GAGAGAGAGAGAGAGAGAGAGAACACAAGCAGGGAAGGGGCAGAAAGAGAGAGAGGCAGAAGATCTGAAGTGGGGTCCGTGCTGACAGCAGACAGCCTGATGTGAGGCTCAAACTCACAAACTAAGAGATCGTGACCTGAGCCAAAGTCAGACACTTAACCAACTGAATCACCCGGGCGCCCCAATATGATTATATTTGAAATGGTTATGTAAGTCCCCAATTTTGCCCCTTGGCCTGAATAGCCTAAAATATTTGCTATCCAGCTCTTTAAGAAAATGTTTGCAGATAAGAGTGAAAAAACCAAAACTCCAGAAAAAGAAACACCAGAGTGATTGAACATAAAATGATTCCTTACTCCTAAGATCCTGAAGTGAAAATGAGCTTATTCATCAGACTTCAGCTCAGGTTATGATCCCACAGTTGATGGGTTTGAGCCCCACGTCGAGCTCTGTGCTGACAGCTCAGAACCTGGAGCCTACTTCAGAATCTGTGTCTCCCTCTGTCTCTGCCCTGCCCCTGCTCGCACTCTCTCTCTTAAAAAGAAATAACACTTAAAAAAAGAGTCTGTCTCTTAACCAACTGAGCCATCCAGGCACCCCACATTTGTCTTTTTATGACTGGACTATTTCACTTAGGATAATATCCTCGGATGTTTAACCAACTAAGCCACCCAGGTGCCCCTACAAAACCATTATTAAAAAGACAAAAAGCAGAGCTCTCCGTCAGCATGGTACACTGAGCACACACATCCTCTCCCTTCTTAGGACCCTATTATAGCAAGAGGGGGAAGAGGCATAATCCAATACAACAAAGGGAATAGGAAGGGGCCATCCGTGGTCAAGAGATTTAAAGAGATTTCTGGAAAGCACTGAGTAGATGGATGTGTACTGACAGAGAAGGGCTGCTTCCTGGAGTACTGGCAGAGGAGTGGGTCTATGCAGCAGAACAGCAGAAGCTCTGCCCAAAAGGATATGGGAAAAAGAGGAACACACACCTGGGGCTTAACTGAAGGTCTTTAACTTCAACAGTCAACCTTCTCGTCCAGTCTTCCCTCTATAAGCAGAATGACAGGCAGCCTGGCATTTACCCCCATGTGACGACATCTCTCAGTCCCAGGGTCAAAAACAAGCCCCCTAAAACAACCAGGAGGGGTTAGGGACAGGGTTCTTCTGTAAAGAAAATGATTAAAGTGTTGGGGAGAACTAGAGCAATGAGTATCGTCCTGCACCAGAACTAAGCCTTCCTTCTATGTTTTAAGTCCAACACCACCTTTGCCGTAAGGTAAAGCCATCAAGTCAAAAGACTATCTCAGGGCATCTGGGTGGCTCAGTCGTTAAGCATCTGACTTCGGCCCAGGTTTGTGAGCTCCAGCCCTGCTTCGAGCTCCGTGGGATTTTCTTTCTCTCTTTTTCTCCCTCTCTCTCTCTGCCCCTCGTGGGATTCTCTCTCTCTGCCTCTTGCTGACTTGCACCCTCTCTCAAAAAATAAAATAATAAAATAAAATAAAATAAGCCTAAAAAAAAAAAAAAAAAGACTGGACTTCCAGGTACCTGGGTTGAATTAAACATATGTACTATTTTCATTCTCTCCTGAAATGACAGAATGAGCCCTTACTTGAGCTTACTAAAATGGCAGTAAAGGAATGAGAAAGATATAGACAAAGACAAAGAGAGTGGGAAAGGAGGCATGGATGGATAAGAGACGTGAACCAACTCTTAGAAGGTAGAAAGCAAGGGGACGCTAAGTAACTTAAAAAGAGCAAGCAGAAACTTCAGTGCCCATATAAAAGACTGTTTCTTGGTGTAATCGTCTCCTTAGATCTCAAGAATTGGAAGCACCGGATATCACAAAAATTGGGGTTGCAGTGTGGGGCTGAAAACAGAGGACTTCTATGGAAGATGGTACATATAAGGAAGTTAGGTGCACCCAGTCTCTGTCTTACCTCATGAGAAGAAACTACCTTCCCCACCCCTCACTCTCAGGATAGTAGAGGTTTATTTTTAGGAAGAATAGAATCAGAAAATTTCAGACTTAGGGAGGGTGTCAGTGAGATGCCAGACTGGAAACAAGGGAACTAAATAAAAACCTGCACTCCCCTGTCCTGCTTGCTTTTTCTCACCTGGTTCTGAGAAGGTCAGCAGTCAGGTTTATAACCCTCAAGGAGGAGATTTGAGGATTATTACTATCTTTTTAAAGCTTAGATGGCTTTAGAGAAATAATCCTAACATTTGGGAGTCTGTCACTAAGAAATCCAGCTCACCCCCCAAACACTACAGTGAAGCTCCATCAGTTAGATGACTCCCCCGACTCCTGCTTCCCATCAGCTTTACTTTTTTTTTTAAGTTTATTTATTTTGAGAGAGAGCGAGAGAGAGAGTGAAGGAGGGGCAGAGAGTGAATCCCAAGCAGGCCCCACACCATCAGTGCAGATCTTGATGTGGGTCTCGAACTCAGGATCCATGAGATCATGA